ACACACATACAAACAAACACACACACACATACATAAACAAACGTACGTACACACACACACACACACACACATTTTGCCCCCCATTAAAAAGACGAACGTCTTTTAACAGACATTATTTTTGACGTGAAGTACGCAGCCTTTCCATGGTTTCCCCAGATGACCGGCCCGGCTAAAAGACGGACGCCATGTCGGAACGCCCAAGGAAGCCATGGCAACCAACAATGGCGTCCCCCTGGGAAGGGAGGGAACCCCTGGGTCGCAAGGAAGGGAGCAGCACTGTTTAATTGCGTGTACAGCAGAGACTTCAGACGACAACAAGGCCTGTTTGCTCCAGCAAGAAACGTAATAAATAGAACAGGGGAGGTAACAGAATTATCTTTGATTACTTTGCTGTTCGGAACCCGGAGTAGGTCCACTTTGGTAATTTGTTTTGCAGACGGCCGTAACAGGAGAAGCCATGCTTAACACAGGGAAAGACACGGGCAAGGTGGACAAGGGAGGAGAAAAAAAGAGAAGAGGGCGGATATTTTTGGACACGGAGAGGAAATAATCTCTTCTTTGTCAACGGCATTTTGCCGCTTGCCTTTTCATACTTTTCGTGGCAAGGGAAGCATATCAAGCGCGAAAACATCAGCAAGAACAAAGCAAAAGCAAACAAACAAACACACAGACGAACACACAAACAAACAAACTAACGAACAAAAACAAAAACAAAACAGAAACAAAGGAGAAAATCAAAGACAACTTAATATGGCCAACAGACATAAACGCCTCATCATAACAGCGGGGACTGCCAGTTACATAAAGGTAAAACACCACAGTCAGTAACCACAACAACCAATAAATAAGAAGAACAACAATAAAAGAAAAAAAATAATACACATTGAAACAATAGAAATCGTATCATAATATAAGAGAGAAAGAAAAAACAGCTACAAAGATTTTTAAAAGCAACAGCACTGACAATAGAAATACCCAAAACAGTATCAACAGCAATGATGAAAGACAACAATAGCAATAACAGCACTAAAAAAAGCACAGAAATTACGCATGAAGGAATGATAATAACAACAGAAAAACAATAACATTAAACACAAAAATAACAACAATGACATAAAACAACGACAAAAGCAGCAGCAACAAAAAGTTTTTTTTTAAAACCCAAAAAACAAACAAATAAGAGCCCCAAAAATTCACATATTACTTATCTCCTACTGCAGTAGCACCAGGTGCATTTAGAATAACATAGTTCATCTCCAACATCGGATCTAAGGACTCACAGATCATTTCAACATTAGTGACCTAGCTTAGTTTAGTTTTAGTAAGAGTTTTACGGCACTTGCAACACAATAAGGTTATATAAGTGCCGAAAATTAGAAGTGTTACAAGAGGGTAACAAACATAAAACATAAGGAGGAGAGATCAGGACGACAGCAGATGTTGATAGGATAAAAGGAGCAAACCACACCAGAGCACCCGCCAACCACCCACAGTGACCTAGTCGGACGACGGTACAACACAAACCCTGCTTGCTACTACAAGATGACCTCAAATTAATAAACTGTCACTGGGGGGATTTCATGGGTAAACTACAGACATAATTGTCGTGGACGGCCGTCTTCAATCGAGGAGAAAAATGGTTGTCTTATGCTTAGAGAGTTTGGTGAAAATGGTGAAATGGTATAGGTTTAACGCCCCTATCAACACTATTGGGTTATTTAAGGGGCGGGACCTCCTAGTCTAACGTCCGTCTCCGATAGGACCGAGCCAAGTGGGAAGTTCGTGTAAAATGCCTTTCCCAAGGACACAACGTCGGACCGAGCTGAGACTCGAACCCCCGAACTCGCAATCTCACGATTGCGAGTCCGGTAGCCTAACCACTAGGCTATCGACGCCACCTTAGAGAGTTTGACGTCTTGAACAGTGTCATTATAACATTATTAGAAAAACGTAACAGGACGGGGGGAGGAGGGGGGAGAGTCGGACGTGGTCTTTCGTACAGGTAATTGTCTTGAACAAGTGGATGTTAGAACAGGGTCAACTGTACTTTGACTACCCTGCCAAGAATCCCAGGACCTCACAACGACTGGAGACAAGGGTGTCCAATACCATGTCTACATTAAATTAAAACAGACTGATGTCGCAATCAAAACTTAATCCCCAAAAAATGCAAATAAATAAAAATAAATCAAATAAATAAATAAATAAATAAATAAACAAAGAAAGAAAGAAAGAAAGAAAGAAAGAAAGAAAGAAAGAAAGAAAGAAAGAAAGAAAGAAAGAAAGAAAGAACGAAAGAACGAAAGAAAGAAAGAACGAACTAAATAAATAAATAAATAAAAACAATTTTCAAAGGAGAGACACAAAGACAGTCAAGTGGGACAGAGAAAGACTGAGTGAATGAGTGTGCGCGCGTATGTGTGTGAGAGAAATAGAGGAAGAAAGAGAGGAAGAGAGAATAAAGAGGGATGGCGCCAAGGAGAGATACATAATTATATCGTATTCCCATGTTCTATCGTATTACATAACATTATCATTACAGCCTGGATTACTATCCATAATCACTCACCTTACAGGGCAGACAGACCAGAGCGCCAAAGTAGTGACCACTCGCCTGCTCCCCGCATACGTCACATCGCTGGCTAGGGTCCATCTTCGCGGGTGTGGCCGCCCCGTGGTCTCCTGAGGATTCCTCTCTCTTCCTCTTCCACCCTTTCCTCCCTCCTCCTGCTCCACCACCACCCCCTCCTCCTCTCCCTCCCTCCACTACCATCGCACTCTCCTCCAGTCTGGCCCCTCCTCCCCCGTTTCCAGTCCTCATGATATTCTGCTGCTGCTGCTGCTCCTGAATCAACACCGGGGTCTGTTGGCTGACGTAGTCATACTGCTCGCTCTCTGGGGTTTGAACCGCGTACTGCCCGGCGGGCGGCTGCGCGGGGGTATAACCTACAGCGTCCAGAGGCCTCGCTACATGCTGCTCCCGGGGAGAGGGCTCGCTGTAATGCTGGTGGTAATGCTGCTGCTCCTGGCGTTGTTGTTGCTGTTGTTGTTGCTGCTGCTGCTGTTGCTGATGTCGCTGCTGCAGCTGGTGTAGCTGGTGCTGGTGCTGTCGATCTTCCTCGCGGGTCTGAAACTGCTCTGAATGAAAGCGTTGACTTTCCGGCTGCAGCTGTCCGTGTTGCTGTTGCAGTAACTCTCGATGCTGCTGTTGCTGAGCGCCCTGCTCGTTCTGGTACTGATCAGGATGAAACTGTTCGGCTTTCAGCAGGTCTCGATGCTGTTGCTGTGGCTGTTGCTGTGGCTGCAGGTGATGGGGTGGCGGGGAGGTGGACGGAGAGTCGGAGTCGAGGAGATCGCGTCCGGCCTCGTCTAGGGATAGGTCGCTGTAGGAAGTCCCCCCGGGATCTGAGGAGGAAAAGACAGCACGTTAGTACAGTTTAATTTAGTAGAGCTTTTAGGCGCTCACAACAGCATACGGTCACATGAGCGCCAGGGGAGGATTTCAACAGAGAAGTCCTTACAGGGAATCAGACTTACTCTGCTCATCTCTCTAGCTTCAACAGCACAAAGTCTGCTTCGGCTATCAAGGCACCCTGGAAATAGCGGGTCACAAGAGAGTGATAAACAGACAAAAGAAGTAGAGGGAAAATGACGATAGTAAGTATTAGGAGAGTAAAAGAAGCAGTTCTCGTATACGGTTCAGGCACATTTATGAGCATGACATTGATAAATGAGCACATTTATGAGCATGACATTGATAAATCAGCACATTTATGGGCATGACATTGATAAATCAGCCCATTTATGAGCATGACATTGATAAATCAGCACATTTATGAGCATGACATTGATAAATCAGCACATTTATGAGCATGACATGGATAAATGAGCACATTTACAATTCTGCTGAGCATAAGAACATGTTCATGTCCCCCCTTTGGGAAAGGCATAAAGACACTTTAGTCAGTCGCATCGCCTCGGGGGGTCGGAATGTTAGTACAGGAACCTTAGACATTGTAAGAGGTTTAGTTTAGTAAGAGTTTTACGGCGCTCGCAACTGCATAAGGTTAAATGAGCACATGGTAAGAGGTTACGGCATTTGCAACACAATTAGGTCATATAAGTGCCGAATGTTAGAGCTTGTCTGTCTGTTTGTTTGTTTGAGTAAAGAGAAGCACATAGACACAATAATGGTTATTAGGTCGAGGGAAAAAGTAAGACAGACAGACAGACAAACAGACAGACTGACAGACAGAAACTGCAGGGGAACTGTAAATAAGTAAAACCTACCAGTAGTGCACTCAAACCGTCCGCTAAGATTAGAGGTAGTCACGAGAGGGTAACAAACAAAAACGAAAAAAAGAGGGGGTATAATGACAATAGATGTTTGATAGGATAGAAGGAGCAAACCACACCAGAGCACCTGCCAACCACTCAGAAAAAGAATCTATAAATAGACTGTTGATGACTTTGAAATGATGCTGGTCATTTAGTAATAGTCTC